TTGTGATACAGGCTTTTAGAATGGTTTTATTTGAGTTTTTTGGCTGTGTTATAGCAAATGTATTACTGTGTTAGTGTGCGTGTTTACCACGTCTGGGCATGAGTCATCACAATGGAATGCAGGGCATCAACCAATAGGCATGCAGCTTTCCTCTATACTTCTTGCTGATTGGCTGTTGGGATTTAACTTGATTAACACCCGCACAGAGCATTTCCACCTGCACAGAGCATTTCTTGCTGATTGGCTGTTGGGATTTAACTTGATTAACACCTGCACAGAGCATTTCCATACTGACAGTATGTCTTTATTCAAGTGTTTTGGTAGGTATTTCAAGCTTTTCTGCTCCAGCATTGGAATGCGGGGCATGAACGTTTTTTATTTTATTTTGAAAATCAACAGTTTGCATTATGCAATTAAAAATCCTAACCAATAAAGTAGGGAATAGCTATCCAACTGTTGTTTTAGTTGTTACTTCATATTATAGTTATATCAATGTAAATCATTGTTTTCCCTTGTGTTTCTCATTCTGTCCCTGCCATGTGGTAAAATGTGGTGAACCCATCGCTGTATTTGCTCCAAAGCAAATATTGGCCTTTCTAGTTATGGCTTGTTTTCTCTCATGTTAATCCTTCTCCTCCTTCCCTGCCATTTCTTTAAATGGCTTCAACTCTGCCATTTTCTGCCAAATGACATGAAATTTCGCATGGAGGCAGAGTGGCCAAAAGCCCCTAGGTTTTTCTTTTAATTGGCACTCCTTCTGACTGTTATCAATGCCAAATAGTGAAGCAAAGTTACTGTATAATCAGAATAAGTCATCAGAAAGGAATGTCGAGCAACAACCAATAGGCCATGCAGCTTTCAAAATCGCTGGGCGGTTGTAATCTTCTTGCTGATTGGGTGTTTGACTGTAATTGGATTAACACAGTGGACAGCTGTACAGGCTATAGGTATTGATAAATGAACTACATTCAATTGTTACATCCATGAAAAATGAAGGTATTGTTTTTGGCGTGTCTGTCTGTGTGTGTGTGTTTGTGTTTGTGTTTCCGCACATTTGTAGTCAGCATAACTTCATAACGCCTTTATGGATTGTGATGATAATTGGTATGCTGGTAAGGTCAAGGTCAAATATGGGCCACCTGATGGATGACCTTGGTACTGCAGCAGAACTTCCAAAGTAGCAAATGATGACCTAATTTGCATAATTAATGTGAAAATTCTGGTGCATGATGGGAATTTTATACCTTGTGACATGTGTAAGTTCCTTAAAGGTTAACATCACTATGCGTATATTATGTTTATGTAGAAGTCATTTGCATAATTTAATAATAAATTTACATGTCAAGCCCATATTTCATGGAGGTATGAGATCTTGGAACTCTTGTTTTAGTAGGTTTGTCACACATTTTTTGCAATGTTTTCTTAAATCTCGAAAATCAACAGTTTGCATTAGGCAAATATACATGTATAGGATCTTAGCTATTATCATCCAACAGTATCCAACTGTTATTTTTAGTTATATATCACTTCATACCCTATTTTTATATTGATTAAAAAACATTCGTGGCAAAACGCATTGATTATGAAGCAAAAATGTTTGGAAGGATAATAGTTGGTTGCTTAGAAGATATTTACCAAGTTTACGGAGAGCTGCATAGAACTCCACTATGGAACAGCCTCCATATGTACCTCAACATGGCGGCAGCCTGCTCGTTGCATGTGGATGGTCACCTGACTGAATACGCCGTATAGATTTTAATCGCTGTTTGAAATGTAACTCTACCTTTTAGAATTGATAAATGTATATATTTTGGCGAAATGTTTTGGCAAAACAAGCCTCGCGATTCAGCCATCGCGGCTGCCAGGAAGCTTGTTACTGTTCCTATGTTCTTCTTTGCTGAATAAACCAGTCTAAAATATGTGCGTAAACTATAAAGCTGATAGTCACATTAACTATAGCTCTGGCCTTATATTTCTCT